TCCTACCATATCAGCAGAAGGACCATGGTAAGAATTGGAGGATGGATACAGAGGTGGGCAAGCTCCTTATCACTGACTGTCAATTTCATACTCATTATGATCTTTGTGTTTTTGGGTCTTGTGTAGAAAGCTCAGAAGAACTCAGTCCCAACAAACTGTTACCCAACAAGTCCTTTTAGGTTTTTACACAACCATACAGATGTCCCACAAGTGTGGTTTCAGATGCTACACAAAAGATGAAGGTATTCTCAATGACGGGCAACTTTCTGTGAGAGGGCTCCCGCCTAAGACAGGGAAGAGGTCTCCCAGTGACGGGTAAGGGTGACCCCTCCGGAACGACCTAAGACAGAGTTACCTTCCTTAGAAAAAAAAAAGGGGATGAGATGCAGGGACATGGCGTCCTGACCTCCGCCTCCCCCTTGTAAGAGCTTGGGTATCTGTGGTATTTCCTGGAATTGTTTATCACAAGGACTTTCTCCTGATTCTGAGAAAAGGTGCACCTGACCCAAAAACTAGCCTTACAGTCAGGTGATCCCAATTATCATGTGTCCTGACTCCACCTCCTCTACTGAAAAGTATTTAAACCCTTCTCTCAAACAAGTATAAAAACCCTTGTCTCAAACAATAAAGTGGCAGTCGAAGTCCTTCCTCCCACTCCATGATTGGTGTGATAGTTTGTTCAATCCTGATGCCCTCTGCTCAGAATACTCGGAGCTTGACGTGCTGGTGCGGCACATGTGGCTCCTGAGGAACAGATCCTCAAATGACCTTAAGTGTAAAACTAAATTAACTTTTTTTGGCCAACTGTATGGTCTTAAACACCCAAAAGGAAATTATAAGCAAAGAGTAAAGTCATCAGTATATTTCTTTAAGAGTTCAAGGGATTACACTTCCCAGACATTAGGCTTAAGACTCTATAAAAAGTTATTTAGACAATTATTTCTTATTGATGATTTTGTTCCAAATCAGAAAGTTCTGCTCAGATGTAAGACTTCAAATCTTGGTCTGCAATACTGTAGTACCCACCTGCAGCTAAGGGAGACAATTTGTTTTCTCCCCCTATCTAGAAGCCTTTGAGAGGGAACTGACACTGATTCTAACCACTCCAACAGCTATCAAAGAACCTGAAAGCAAATCCTGAATCCATCACTCTAGAATCCAGCCTTGGAAGACAAAAGAAAAATGAGGAAAAACCCAATAGAGAAATGCTTTTAGAAGCCCTTGTGAAGAAATTCCAATGGACATTTGAAAATTGCCCTGTTCTGATTGATTTTTTTTTCTAGTTCCCAGTCTAGAACTTGTAATGCTAATTGCTCTTGTCTTTACTTCTCCTTCACATCTCCTATTCAAGATTCAAAGACTTTCTTTTCCTCCTTGAGATAAGAGTTATGCAATTTGGGAGTCTTTTAGATAGACTCACTGAAGGGGTACTCCAATTACTTCACCCTGAGTCCCTGTTCAGCATGAAAGAAGCCAGAGTGGTATACGACCTGATTCCCTATTGTCAATTTGAGTAATCTCTTCAGAAGATGGTGTGATAAGAATAGGAGGTAGGAATTCGCTAGGCAGTTAGGGTAAAAAGATCCCAAAGAAAATTATCCAGTTTCTTGGATGAAACTCACAATGTCCTTGAGCCTCTTAGCAGCCTACTCCATTCCAAAGGCCAAAAATGTCTAAAATATTTGGGAGCCTTTATCTAATCCTTAAAAGATTTTAAGGTTACCTCTTCAGAACGAGGAATGTTAGAGAAAAGCCCCATTAAAAGAAATTAATCAAAAAGAAGAAAGAGTACATGGAGTTATCAGAAAAAAGTGATGGGGAGATATGGGAGGAGTTGGAGGGGAGGGAATGGGCATGAATTCAATCAAAATACCTTATATGCATGTATGAAATTCCCAATAATTTATTTAAAAAAAGAGTAAAATTAAAATATGTATATTGGATCACCATAAAATTATAAAATTTAAATAACAGATATCCAAAGCAATGTCTACCAAAATTTTTAGTTCT